ACAGAGCTTGATATCTCAGAAGAGTCTTTTTTCTTGTATCGATTCTTTTCAGAGGATTCAATCCGTTTCTCATATTCGCTAATTTTTTTTAATATGGAATCAAGAGCGTTCTTATTTTTCTGTTGGGAGTCGTCTTCTTCGGAATTTCTTTGTTTTAGATTCCATTTGTTTTTCCTATATTCCGTTTCCTTCGAATTTGATTGATCAGAATTCTTTCTGCGCTCTGCTATATCAAGTAAACTCCATTTCTTTTCTGTCACTGAATCTAGCGGACTCTCTGTCCCATCATCACTACTATCTTCTTTGGCATATTTTTTAAAAATGTTGCCAATAATAGGAAGCTTCTCAAGTGTTGGCAAAAGTTTGGATTGCAAGTCACGAATTTGCTCAACTGTTTCTTCCTTCTTTGTGGCTATTTCCTCTTGCACTTTATCAAGTAAATCCTTCCATCTTGAATTTTGCGTTGGTTTACCATATGCATTTGCAAATAAGACGACGATAAAAATAATGGTGAGACCTATGAACAATTTATATTGTAATCATGTAATATCACAAATATTATAACATTACATTTTAATAAAATAGTAGGGGATACTGTTTCAGAGCACAATTTAAGTGATTTCTTATCTTATAAGTTTACTTTCTAAACCAGTAAAAATGAAAATATACAACTCTTATATTTTTACAGAAAGATTAATCATTCTTTACACGCAGTATACTTTAGGAATTTAAATTCAATAACCGTTTGTCAGATGTATCGAATTTGTCATACAAGAATTCAGAGAAATTTTAATTATCTGGCTAGCTTGCACTATTAAATACATTATTATTATTTTCAGCGTTCGACGTTCAATGATTGACATTTATAAATGATTATTTCTTAAAACTAATGTATGCTAATGTATGATAACGTTCTAATGTATAACGTATAATTGTTCTACATATTACTTCGTGACATAACCTTATCTTAAACTAACCTAATACTATTCTACTATTTAATGTTAGCGAAATGACGAATTGTAAATGTAAATCTAACTACAGAATCCAGAGAGCTCAATAAACATTTGAAGAGTAATAACAATACAAAATTTAATTAATTCATATTGTACCTTAAATCCATTCCCTTCCGTCTTTTTGCAATTACATCATTTTCGGCAACCCGACTTCGAATTAACTTTGGTGACCTCATGCGGCGAAACTTTGAAACTCAACGCTTCTTGCGTGTATAGTAAACAGGGCAATAAATATTTCAGCATTAAAAATGCAATTTTGTTTCAAAAATTTGAGGAAGTTTTTCTCATTTCTTTTTTGTTCAATTCTATGTAAAATGTTCCACAGAAGTTTGGGTAAGAGTCCCACAGTATTCTGCATAAAATGATATTTTTTTTTCGTAAAATAAATCCCATAGATTTTGCAATTTTGTTTGTAAAACTTTGTAAATACATGTCTGTGCTTTCGTTTATTATAAAGTTTTAATAGCAAAATTGCAAAATTCGACTCTGGCATTTTTTAATTACACAAAGAGTATTTAAAAGTCATGAGAAAATATTGCGTGCCCGTTTGAAATTCTTGAAACAATAAAAATGTCCTTTTTTTGTGTACAAACCAACGCAGGATAAACGAAAATCGCCGGGAAATTCTCAGCGTCGCCGCACGAGGACCTCAAAGTCAATTCGGACTTTTGCAACCCTAATAAAAATCTAATAATCTACCCTTAATTTAAAAACAACTAATTTTACAGGCAATTTTTCTAAAAAATAGCGTATAAGATAAATTGTGTCAAGTTAAATCGATTGCTATCTTAAAGCAAAATATGGCGATTAATTTGAAATGAAACTTTTATTTATTTCTGAATATTTTGAACATTATACAACTTTGTCATGAATCAACATTAACTCCGTTAATTTTATTGACTTTGATAATTTATTAGATTTAAGTTGCGATGAAAATGTTATCTGATAAATAAAATGTATTTGAGTTTTATACTGAACGATTTAGACATTTTAGATTTCCGAACGTGTAATGTACGATTTGCTAGAAAAACAGAAGGAAGGTTTGGCAAAAAATAATAATCGTAGTCTTCCTATTTTGTCAGTTACACTATTAGCTTTTCGTAATGGGTTTCTGTCAAAATTTCTTTTATTATCCTACTTTATTATTGTACTAGTGTAACGAAACGAAGTGCTGCTGAAAATTATTATAAATAAATATTCTCGTGTCAGATGGGCGATCAAACTTGTCAACGCTTTTTAAATTTTTGTATAAGTCACATTAAACACGTTTTATTAAACGCCATTTCTTGTACCGTGGATGAAACCATGGATACAAATGTCCTATTGAGTACTCATTCCCGTGGGTACTCATTCGTTGACATACGAATATACATTAATTTTGTATATTTTGTAGTCTCATTAAAAAAAGACATGCTTCCACTTTTGAAAGTGAAATATTTCTTAACACTAGATTTACGGACGTTTGATGGTCACTTTTATTTAAATTTACCTAAAGTAGAAAAATAAATAAATTGCAGTGCCTAAAACATTGATTCTTTTGCTGAAAGTTGACATTTTTATAAAAATTTCTTAACAAATTCTGTCATCTAAAATAGACCTATTATCCGTCATTTTGACGGGTTCCGTAAATCTAATGTTAAAATATTTCATATGAGGCACAGTTACCCTACACAACCAGTGAAACGTCGTTTGTCTTCTGAACTACAATCTCATCCTCAAACTAGCCACCATTGAACGTAAAAAAATTTTGATCAAACTAGTTCTTCAATAATATCCATGGATCACTTAGAATAGGCTTTGCGTTAAAAAATCTGACAAATTCCACATAGTTCGATTTAAAGATCTATTTCGAGTAACTCTATAACTTGTAATAGAACAACACTTTATTTCTACGATATACACTTTCCAAAACGGTACTCATTACCTTTCATTGCATGAAATATTTATTACACGCACTAGAACTCGGCCACCAGTTACACATCGTCACCTCTACTGCTCGTTTAATTATTTCGGGTCTTTTTATATAGTTGTCCTCTGATAAATGTTCCTTATCGGCTCTTATGGCATAATTTATGGGTATTATTACAATGATTCATCTTATTTTTCGTCTAACGCCTCTATCAACAAGGCATCCGAATTCCCACAAGGTGAGATTTTAACGGATCGAGCTACGACAAACACGATTTATTGTGTCTGCCGTTTCACTCTTTTGAATACAATGCATGTAATCGTGACATCGATCGTGTTTGCTTTTTAAATAATTCGATATTCGTGAAATATCACTTCTCTTTTTGCGTATCTTATCTACGAAATTGTTTTTTTAACGTTGTTTATTGTAATAGAATGTATCTACATTTTGTGTGTACACTTGTATGTACGTGTATGTCTAGTCTTAGGAAGTGTTAGGTTTCTATTTGATAGCAAAATTATTAGATAATTGAGATATTTTAGCTGAAAAATGGAGTCTTTTGTAAATTTATTTGTGCTCATATATTATTTATAAAATCATGTTAATGTTATTCTAAGATTCAATTAAAAAATGAGGAGATTCAGGAAGATGCAGGTTTCGACCCCGAAAGAAGGAAATCCAGAAAGAATTTCAGGAAAAGAAAACAGTTATCCTTGTATGCAGAATATTTTACTAACAATAAATTTTTACTAATAAATTTACTACGAATTAGTTATACGGATATTATTTAAAGAAGCCATAACAATGGCTGCAAGCCATAACTTCACTTTATCCAGGAATTGCAGTTGATTCTCGTCCAACATGCAATATTTCATATGAGGCACAGTTACCCTACACAACCAGTGAAACGTCGTTTGTCTTCTGAACTACAATCTCATCCTCAAACTAGCCACCATTGAACGTAAAAAAATTTTGATCAAACTAGTTCTTCAATAATATCCATGGATCACTTAGAATAGGCTTTGCGTTAAAAAATCTGACAAATTCCACATAGTTCGATTTAAAGATCTATTTCGAGTAACTCTATAACTTGTAATAGAACAACACTTTATTTCTACGATATACACTTTCCAAAACGGTACTCATTACCTTTCATTGCATGAAATATTTATTACACGCACTAGAACTCGGCCACCAGTTACACATCGTCACCTCTACTGCTCGTTTAATTATTTCGGGTCTTTTTATATAGTTGTCCTCTGATAAATGTTCCTTATCGGCTCTTATGGCATAATTTATGGGTATTATTACAATGATTCATCTTATTTTTCGTCTAACGCCTCTATCAACAAGGCATCCGAATTCCCACAAGGTGAGATTTTAACGGATCGAGCTACGACAAACACGATTTATTGTGTCTGCCGTTTCACTCTTTTGAATACAATGCATGTAATCGTGACATCGATCGTGTTTGCTTTTTAAATAATTCGATATTCGTGAAATATCACTTCTCTTTTTGCGTATCTTATCTACGAAATTGTTTTTTTAACGTTGTTTATTGTAATAGAATGTATCTACATTTTGTGTGTACACTTGTATGTACGTGTATGTCTAGTCTTAGGAAGTGTTAGGTTTCTATTTGATAGCAAAATTATTAGATAATTGAGATATTTTAGCTGAAAAATGGAGTCTTTTGTAAATTTATTTGTGCTCATATATTATTTATAAAATCATGTTAATGTTATTCTAAGATTCAATTAAAAAATGAGGAGATTCAGGAAGATGCAGGTTTCGACCCCGAAAGAAGGAAATCCAGAAAGAATTTCAGGAAAAGAAAACAGTTATCCTTGTATGCAGAATATTTTACTAACAATAAATTTTTACTAATAAATTTACTACGAATTAGTTATACGGATATTATTTAAAGAAGCCATAACAATGGCTGCAAGCCATAACTTCACTTTATCCAGGAATTGCAGTTGATTCTCGTCCAACATGCACTAAATCCACAGACCTTTGCGCAATTATTTAAATATATTGTCAAATTTGATTTTCATTGACGAATGAGTACGATCAGATATTTAAATTCTTTTATTTTGCTAAATGGTCTACCTGGTGTATCATTTTCTAACGAATATACAATATTTGCATGATGTACCTCTTCGTGACTGGATCCGTGGTGCATGATGGTACTCGAACTCTTTTCTCAACGTTGATTTTAAACGTTTAAGTTACCTGAAATCATTTATGTATTATTATTAAATTAGTTTATGTATTATTATTAAATTAGTTTATGTATTAGTATTAAATTAGTTTGCGTATTATTATTAAATAATAATATTATTTATAACATAACAATTATTAGTATTTAACTGAAAATCAGTGGAGCACAGATTTACAGAATTGGCCATTTAGCAATATTTTTAAAATAAAAATTTTCAGAATACTTCATGCATTATTTAAAATCCCACGTCGACTTTTCTCTTAGCAAAGGTTAGAATTCTCGGAAATGTATTTTGTAAACTAAATTAATCTCCCTAAGTGTTCCTGAATTTTGATGCTGATTTATGAATTCGAGATTAATCTCAATTGACATTCGGTAAATGTTAATTGAAACCTGAAGTTACGCCGAGCAAACAATGAATTTAGCGGTTATATTGTACCCTGCAGTCTCGAGATATCATTGTTTAAAGACAAATTAACAGTGAAGTTAAAGTTTGTGGAAAATTTTACTCCCACGGTGCTTTTAAAATGCAAGTTCGTGCTATCAACCTTAGCCAATCATTTAGCTATTATTTTAATTAATTGTATGGCTTTTACAAGTTTTTTATTAGTTTAAAAGCATTCAAATATTCTCTTCTATTGTAAATATTTATTGTAAAATAGTAAACGATGTTACACGTAGGGAGAATAATCAACCTAACCCGAATTAATTTGTTTTGTATCATACTTCGTATAAAAACGACCCCTTAAAAATTTGACCCCTACGTTGATCAAATTACTAGTAGATCCGTCTTATGTTTTATGATGAAAGAATAATTTCTCCGACTACTGATTTGTTTTCTCTTTTAGGCATTTCAAATATTTCAACTGTTTCATTTTAAATACGCGAAGAAAAGGCAAAATTATCTTATCATTACAGATAAAGAATTGAATCAAATGACGAAAAATTACAAAATAATACGTCAGAGAAGCTTGATTCGGAACCAAACGAAAGTAAATTATACCCACGACCCGATGTAAATCATTAAATATACCAGATAACAGGTGGTGCCAGCATTCTCAATAGGAGCCAAAAATATTACTTTGCCTGAAGCAGTTCAGATAATGTATACATTACCTAAGCGATGTATACACTGCTTGCGTAAAGTAATAGCTTTAAATCGTTAGAATTTATACATTGTGCGTCGACAATTGTGTTAGAATTTATACATTGTGCGTCGACAATTGTGTTAGAATTTATACATTGTGCGTCGACAATGTATACTGGAAATTTATATTTTTACTTATGTGTATGTTGAGTATGTGTACATGTGTGCATGTGTGTTATTATTCACACATGTGAGGGGGTGAAAATCATACAAGAATTTATATATTGTGCAAAATGCCTTGACAAGGGATGCATTACTTGAAATTCATATTTTTACTTATGTGTATGTTGAGTATGTGTACATGCGTGCATGTGTGTTATTATTCACACATGTGAGGGGGTGAAAATCATAGAAGAATTTAGACTTTATGTAAAACGTCTCGAAAATGTATACATTATTTATATTTTTACTTATGTGTATGTTGAGTATGTGTACATGTGTGTATGTGTGTTATTATTCACACATGTGAGGGGGTGAAAATCATACAAGAATTTATATATTGTGTAAAATACCTCGACAAGATATACATTGCTTGAAATTCATATTTTTACTTATGTATATGTTGAGTATGTATGTGTACATGTGTGTATGTGTGATGTTATTCACATATGTGAGGGGGTGAAAATCATACAAGAATTTATACATTGTGCAAAATGTCTCAACAAGGGATGCATCACACGAAATTCATATTTTTACTTATGTATATGCTGAGTATGTATGTGTGTGTGTATGTGTGATGTTATTCACATATGTAAGGGGGTGAATGTAATAGAAGAACTTATGCATTGTGCAAAACGCCTTGACAATTTATACATTACTTGAAGTTTGTATTTTTACTTATGTACATGTTGAGTGTGTGTATGTGTGTATGTATGTCACACGTGCATATGTGAAGGGGTGGAAGTTATAAACGTGTGAGTCAAATTTTTTAAAAATATTGAGTTGTATGCACAAGTACGATCTATACATTCGAAGGCAAAATACTGTAACCCAAATTATAAAGAATTTAAAAATTGTCGAAAGTTTTCTTCAAAATCCGAAATTCTGAAATTTAGAAGTCCGAACATTTTCAAGCGTCCTGACACTTTCAAAGGTATTAACACCAATTTCAATTAGAAATGCAATAAATTTAAAAACGGAAATTGTTCGTGCATACAGAAATTTTCATAGAATTATCTCGTAACTCAGCAGATCGCCGCGTTATAAATCCATCACCCACGACGAAACAATATTTGCGATAAATAAGATGGTACTAGAAGCAAAGAAGATACTAAAACTTGCTGCTGCGTCGTCATTGTTTCTACAACTATGTTATTATCGGCCTGGCTATTATTCCATTTATAGATTTCAACGGAATTGCTAATCGACTTGTTTCTTTGATTAACGTTCCGTTATCAACAAACTGGTTACAATCAAGGCAATTTGCGTAACAGTGCACTCGAGTGAATTATTATACACGCCGCAGAGTCTTATTGTTCATCGTATATACGCAGTTTTAGAAGTGTCAACTTAATTGGGATTAATTAAGGCACATCTGCCTAAGTTTCAAATAAACGCGATTAATACGAATAGCTAGATTTTTGCGTTTGAATCTCTTGGGGAATGTCTGCAATTTTAAGAACTTCAAAATGAAATGTCATATGACTTGTCTCTTTCTATATTTACGTTATTATAATATAAAACTGTTCGTATAACTCGTAAACTTTGGAATTCTGGAAAATTTGGGAGGTTTGAAAACATGGAGACTACAATAAAAATCCTTGTACCTTGCGACATATTTTATTGCTCTAACTTCTACAATAATGGTAATTCTCTAGTGTAAAGAAACAGAACTATTGGCTATATTTAATGTTAATAAACAAATTGGTAAGAATATTTTGTTAGCACAACTGATCGTTTGTATAATGCTTCCCTTGATTAAAGAAAAGTGTGATGGAGATTTTAATTGATTGATACATATACATAGATTACGATCAATTCACCAATGAGTTATTGCAAATAGACAAATACTTCAATGTTATCAATAAATATTAACCTTAATATCTCAATATTCCCAGATCTTCACATTCTCAAACTTCCAAATTTCAAAGTCTTCAAATTCCAACAAATTTTTGACAAGTTAATTTCCGAAGGTTGCAGACATCACCGAAAAGACACCTACCAATTGACCTACGTCATTATAGTTCCATCTAACGTAGCAGTGCCGCTAATACTATTTGCGTCGTTATCAGTAGGTTTAGATGAAGTTTACACAGTTATCCCTGTATTATTTATTGATTCTTCCGTACCTGTTCTCTATGTAGATGGCGACGATTCTGTACCACTATCTGCTCAATTTTTTATCGCAATTTCAGTTGCGGCTGCACTATTCTTTAAATCCCCACCAGCTGAATCTTCTTTTTTTAGTTCATCGGCAGGTTCTTTAATACCTACGCCCCATCCAATATCAGTTACCAGTGACGATCCACTGTCACTCTTTGAATCAGTTGTGGGTTTAGTAATATTCCAGCTAATGATTTTCCCACTACCATTCGCATTATTTATACCGTCAGCAGAAAATCCAGACAAGGTTTGTGTGCCTGACCATGCAGCATGTGTGGATTTTACAGTCGGGCCAGCTGTTGTAGGTTTACTACCTTCAGTCACTGGTCGACCTGTGGTGGTCTTTTCAGACGTGGTTGCAGTACTTTTTGGCGTAATTGATCCTCCTTTTGTGGTGCCATCTGTCGTGGAAGAACCTTGAGAGGAAGTTTCTTTGTTGCCCCAGCCAGTGCTCTGGCTTGTCTTAGTTGATCCAGAAGTACTTGACTTCTCGGTGTTTGTCCATTCTGGGATTGTACCGGTTGGCACCGGCGATGGTTTACTCCACCTGGCTGTAGTTGTATCTCTACCTAATATCCAATCAGAGTCGATGATAATGGTTGTTGATTTTGTGCTTTTACTGCTTGTCGTCGATTCTGACGTGGTAGGACCTTGAGTGGAAGTCTCTCCGTTGGTCCAACTAGTGCTTTGAGTTGGCTTAGTTGATCCAGGAGTATCTGTCCATCCACGGCTGGTTGATTTTGTGCCTTCGCTGCTTGTCGTCTTTTCTGTCGTGGAAGAACCTTGAGTTGGCTTAGTTGATCCAGTAGTACCTGTCCATCCACGGCTGGTTGATTTTGTGCCTTCGCTGCTTGTCGTCTTTTCTGTCGTGGAAGAACCTTGAGTTGGCTTAGTTGATCCAGTAGTACCTGTCCATCCACGGCTGGTTGATTTTGTGCCTTCGCTGCTTGTCGTCTTTTCTGTCGGAACGTGGAGTTGGCGTAGTTAATCCAGGAGTATCTGTCCATCCACGGCTGGTTGATTTTGTGCCTTCGCTGCTTGTCGTCTTTTCTGTCGTGGAAGAACCTTGAGTTGGCTTAGTTGATCCAGTAGTACCTGTCCATCCACGGCTGGTTGATTTTGTGCCTTCGCTGCTTGTCGTCTTTTCTGTCGTGGAAGAACCTTGAGTTGGCTTAGTTGATCCAGTAGTACCTGTCCATCCACGGCTGGTTGATTTTGTGCCTTCGCTGCTTGTCGTCTTTTCTGTCGTGGAAGAACCTTGAGTTGGCTTAGTTGATCCAGGTGTACCTGTCCATCCACGGCTGGTTGATTTTGTGCTTTTGCTGCTTGTCGTCCTTCCTTCCGTGATACAACCTGGAGTAATTTCTTCGGTGTTCCGACCAGTACTCTCACTTGTCTTAGTTAATCCCGAAGTACTTGACTCTCCAGTGTTTGTCCATTCTGAGATTGTTCCGGTTGGCCCCGGTGGTGATGCAGTCCTTCTGGTTGTAGTTGTATCTTCGCCTAATATCCACCAAGGGTCATAGATTGCGGAGTCACTCGTAGTTTCTGCAGTTGGTTGTGTTGGAATGGGACTTGTCACCGATGTTTTACCACACCTCCACTTCATTTCATTAGCTGAATTCATACTCGTCGGTGGTAATTTTGTGACAATCTCAAACTGTACGCTAATATGCAAGTGGATTTCCAAACATCTTCTCGCTAGCGTTATCTGGAACGGATAAGGAACAGTTTTCTTGATTTTGCATATCTCCAACAATTTTTCCATGGTTAAATTTTTCTTGTGAGTTAATATATAGTTTCTTATGATCAGCTTTTCCCTCCATGCCATATACCTAGCTTTGTTCAATTCATACAGCTTTTTATAATAAATCTGCAATGGCGATAAGCGTTGACATAAGTCAACTTTGTGGTGTTTGAGCATTTCTATGATTATCATTCTCTCTTTGACTCTTGGTATTAGACTTATTAAGTGCCTTTTGTATTGTTCTTCCAGGTTTTCCTGCATTTTCTGTAATTTACGATTTTTGCGAGTTTTCTTTTCTGATGAACTTTCGTTTTCTTTCGATTCTTTCGAGTCATGTTTTCGGTGCTTTTGATGTTTGCCATCCGTTTTGTGGGAACGTGAATTAGAAGAGCTGATTTCATCTGTTGATTTTGATGACTCAGAAGAATCCTTAGTACGGGAAGAATCCGAATCGTTGTCAGAGGAATCGTGCTTACGTTTCGGTGGCGAACGTGGGGGAATCAGCGGTTCTCTATCCGCACTTTCATCACTGTCATTTTCGTCACGCGATGCATATAAATCTCGGAGTTTCTGAATGGCTGCTTCTTTCTTCCCGGTTTGCAATCTCTCCTGCATAGTACTCTTCCATTCTCGTTTATCAGAGTTCGCATTGTACGTGTGGACAAGCAAGAGGACGAACAAAAGAATAGCGAAACCTATCAACAAGAATAAAATATTAACATTTGTACAATTTTAAGAACTATAACACTTGCGATATGAATACATTATTAACAAAATTAACAAGAATTAATATAGTACAAATGAGATGATCTGTCATCTTTTATGTTCTAGAATTGCTCGTACAATTTCACATAGAAGTTAAGCATTTTTATCTTAAGTGAAATATGATCAGTACAGAGAAGATTAACACGTTAAATATAGAGGGTCACATGTGACTATTAAAGAAATGTGAAGACGTTCTGAAGAGTATCAGTATTACATAACTTCTGTCAAATATTAAATAGAAACTTCAAACTGCAAAATAAAGCAATAGTAATTTTAATAATTGAGGTTAGGATTTCCTTAGGAAAATGGCAGGACAAGACAGAAGGTTCTAGTTGATGTTTACGTTCTGATAAATATTTAAAATTTCTTGTTGAATACAAAAATATAACGTGGTAATTTTTTAGTATTATAACGTGGTATTTCTGTCTTGTATCACCATTTTCACCAAGGAAGCTCAAGAGTGTATCACACGTGGCCATCTCTGCATTTAACGCGCTGAGGCCCCACATCTTTGATTTACCGTTAAACACAATGTATTTTTACCATTAAACACAATGTACTTTTACCATTAAACAACAAATGTATTTTTATCTATTACATATATATTTCACTCGTTAGTTACCTCTCATTGTAAAAACTTTGTTCACTAGTACGCGTTTATCAATTGCGCGTCGTCACATGTACTGGTGGGTTCAATTCTTTCTTATCCTTTTATACAGTTACCTTCTGATAAAGGTTCCCCGCCGTGTCTTCGGATAAAATTTATGATATTATTGCAATGATTCATCTTGTTTCGCGTGTCATACCTTCGTAAATAAGTCATCTGAATTCGTGCACAGTTAAATTAGAACGTTTTGGTATGTGACTGGTGCAGATGTGTTTGCAACATCTGATGATGAGTGCCACGATATTGTTCGTCATTAAGTCGTGTTTGCCATTCAAATAATTCGATATTGTAACGTATAGTTTTCTCTTTCGCGTACTTTATCTAAATTCCCAGAATCTCTTCTTCATCGTCATTTATTGTTACCAACAAGTATTTTTATCTCGTCTGTATTTCCTAATATGGCGAGGTATGCTAAGTCGTACGAACGTAGCGAACAGTTTTAATTGATAAATCTGTGCGTGAAAATTGGAATAACCCAAGATTAATATAATGTTAATTTCAAATTATTTTTGTCTCGTTATGTCATCAGTTCACAGTACTTTCACCAGTGTGTTATTCGAATAAAATTGGATTTCAATCGTTCGAACGTTGAATAGCTTGAATAAGTCAAATATTTGAGCACTAAAAGATTTGATAAGAATAGGTGAGTATTTAAGTATTCATACATTTGAATATCCAGTTTTGAAATTTTAATGTTTGAGTATCGAAAAGTCAAAAAAATTCGAACATTTGATATATGCCTAATAATAAGTAGTCAATGTCTAAGAATTCCTACATGCGAACAAAAGATGCAAAATTCAAATATTTTGGTACTTGCAGACTTTTCATTCAAATATTTATATATTTCAAGATGTGGCTTTCAAATATTTATGCATTCACGAGATGCACAACACTTTATATGCGTCGATGTGGAAAATTTTTGCATGGAGTAAACTGTCTGCAGAAAATACCGAAGTCAACACATTCCAAACAATTTATTGTTAATTTCCTCTTTTAATGTTTGTTAATATATTAAGCACATAAATATTGACATGGATACAAGTTGCAACAAGCGATCAATTTTGTGCAAGGCACAACTTTGGAGCGCAGTGTCTATAACATCGCTGCGATACACAGCAGGTTGCAATGTTGCAGGCGTTCGGTATATCGATAGAGCGCAAGTATTCTTCGAGATCTTAATACTGAAATTTTAAAAAAATTTAAACATACTCGCTATTAATTCGCTAGATATTATTATAAAGACAGTAAATAACAGTGTTACATTATAAAATAATTTTAACCCTCCGAGGGACGCCTCTCAGACGCCATTCAATTTAATACAATAATTTGAGATAAGCATTATTTAACTAATTCTATTATAGTGCTCGAGTGATGCATAAACATAGTGAAACAGAGTGGAAATTATTAGTAGAGATATAACCTCAAAAGAGTAGAATAATAACCCCCACAGAGTTGACCAGCGGCGACCTGTCGGCACCTTTGATCTCTTAAAACGCTGCCCCTTTAAATTAATTGTATAAACAGGCGGTAAATTTAAATCGAGCAAATCTACTTTCATGGCAACCTCTAATAATTTCAAGTATATTTGTAATAAATTTTCTGTGCATTACTAATATCGTCTTTTGAAGTATTTGCATTAATTTTACGACGTTGAAAAGTTGAAAAAGAAAAGAATATACCAAAATGATTACTCTACAAAATATATTTGAAGAATATGTATTACGGAAATGATTATTACAAATAACTTCTAAGAAAATGAAAAACTATATATCACAAGAAATTACGGATGAATGTGTTACAGAGATATGACAAAATATTTATTAGAAATAAATTACTGGTGAATGTGCAGCTTTAAACTATTCTTTTTCGACCGCCATACTTCTACGCTGTGCACATACGCACCCCCGATTCTTTTGATTTGGGCATTTAAATTGGTTGTGTCCTCAGTCTCTCTTTAGGAAGTGGGTTTCCTTGTCTAGTGTCGCCTCTTGAATATTAGAGTAGTAATATTACAGTAATAATATTAATAAATTTGTAAATGGATTGTTTCGGTCATGGCCGACAGACGCCATCTTTAAAGTTATGTTTCTAATGCAACTACTGTACTTATTCGAGTACACGTGTGATGTAGAATAAAATTGTAAAACAGAATATCAAAAATGATTGAAATAAAAATGAATATCAAACGAGGAATAAAGAAAAAAACAAAGAGATAAATCGTAACAAATGCAATTTGGTAGCATAATACTGTCTGCGATAAACGAAGCACAATATCATCCATCGTAACAAATATTACATACCAAATGATACAATCGTAACAATTGTTAATTTCATGAATTATTTTCCAGGTGAAAATATTTTTCTGACAGTCATCCATAGGTATTTGGAAGTATGAGCACGATATACGGTCACAGGTATGGAGAGCGACCCAGAAGGAACTGGAGGAACAGTGAAAGCGAACGTGATCCTGACCTAGGACACTCCAGTTTCCTGGTAGAGATCTAGTCGGTGTGCCAGGTTAATAGAAATCTCGGTTAGGTCGGGTCAGGATGACGGCACAAGCAGCGAAAGTGAAAACGAAACGAAACTTGAGAGTCGGTCGTGGGCACCAAATGTAGGTGAGTGAAATTGAGGCCGGTAAAAGTGGAATAGTAGAGCCGCGCCCTATATCCCCGTCCCAGTACTTTCATTCTCGATACGTGAACTTTCCTGCTATAGGACACCTTCACTTTCTTATGAATTTGCCCATTTTCGAGTCAACGAACTCGGCGAAAGGTGCGTATGCTCTCTTCGGGGGTTTCAAGTGACGAGATTTTTTCAATGGAGGGTTGTTTGTTAAACGTTGATATATTTTAAAGTTTGAGGGGAAGTAAAATTTATGAAGTTACGAATTTTCAGATTTTTTTTTTTTAATTGAATGTTTAAGGTCACATGCACCTTCTTAGGTTATTAGTGACCACATTTGATTTGGGACTATGTGATGAACGTATTAATATTACATTTCATAATAAAGACCGATCTATCAGAAAGGTAAGAATTTTCCTGCACAAATTTACATTTTGTAGCATACTTGCTACGTTTGAGATGTTATACTGCTCGAATTTTCAGATTTCTAAATTTTACGGTACCAAATTTGTAAATTGAAAATTTACAAGTTTTCAAATTTCGGAATTCTCAAAGTTCCAAAATCTCAAAGTTCTAAATTCTGAAAGTTCTAAATTCTGAAAGTTCCAATTTCTCAAAGTTCCAAATTCTCAAAGTTTCACATTCGCAAAGTTCCAAATTCTCAAAGTTTCACATTCGCAAAGTTTCAAATTCTCAAATTTCGGAATTCTCAAAGTTCCAAATTCTCAAAGTTCCAAATTCTTAAAGTTTCAAATTCTCAAAGTTTCAATTTCTCAAAGTTCCAATTTCTCAGAGTTCCGAATTCTCAAAGTTCCAAATTCTCAAAGTTCCAAATTCTCAAAGTTCCAAAATCTCAAAGTTCTAAATTCTGAAAGTTCTAAATTCTGAAAGTTCCAATTTCTCAAAGTTCCAAATTCTCAAAGTTCCAATTTCTCAAAGTTCCAAAATCTCAAAGTTCTAAATTCTGAAAGTTCTAAATTCTGAAAGTTCCAATTTCTCAAAGTTCCAAATTCTCAAAGTTCCAATTTCTCAAAGTTCCAAAATCTCAAAGTTCTAAATTCTGAAAGTTCTAAATTCTGAAAGTTCCAATTTCTCAAAGTTCCAAATTCTCAAAGTTCCAATTTCTCAAAGTTCCAAAATCTCAAAGTTCTAAATTCTGAAAGTTCTAAATTCTGAAAGTTCCAATTTCTCAAAGTTCCAAATTCTCAAAGTTCCAATTTCTCAAAGTTCCAAAATCTCAAAGTTCTAAATTCTGAAAGTTCTAAATTCTGAAAGTTCCAATTTCTCAAAGTTCCAAATTCTCAAAGTTCCAATTTCTCAAAGTTCCAAAATCTCAAAGTTCCAAATTCTCAAAATTCCAAATTCTCAAAATTCCAAATTCTCAAAGTTCCAAATTCTCAGAGTTCCAAAATCTCAAAGTTCCAACTTCTCAAAGTTCCAAATTCTCAAAGTTCCAAATTCTCAAAGTTTCAAATTCTCAAAATTCCAAATTCTCAAAGTTCCAAATTCTCAAAGTTCCAATTTCTCAAAGTTCCAAATTCTCAAAGCTCAAAATTCTCAAAGTTCCAAATTCTCAAAGTTCCAATTTCTCAAAGTTCCAAAATCTCAAAGTTCCAAATTCTCAAAGTTCCAAATTCTCAGAGTTCCAAAATCTCAAAGTTCCAACTTCTCAAAGTTCCAAATTCTCAAAGTTCCAAATTCTCAGAGTTCCAACTTCTCAAACTTCCAAATTCTCAAAATTTCAAATTCTCAAAGTTCCAAAATCTCAAAATTTCAAATTCCCAAACTTCCCAATTTCCAAATTTCCAAATTCTCAAACTTCCAATCCTCGAATTTCCAAATTTCCCAATTCCCCAATCTCCAAATCCTAAAAATCACTATTAATATTAACAGAATCCAAATTAATTACAGCTAGATAGAACAACAAAATAAACATCATCATTAAAATAAGTGATAACAAATATTAAGTAACTAAAAAATATTGCATGTCGCAAAGTAAATCAGTTTTCTTTATAATCAATATACAAATGACAAGTATAACAACAATTATTTAAAACAATTTCGAAATAATTTACTGATACGACATATCAGTAGAATGATGAACTTGTTCGCTAGATAAGGTTATTAGCTAACGTCATACCAATATTTTCTTCCATTTTTGATTCATATTTTCTTGTTCTTCTTATCATTCCTTCATTTCTGTGAATTAATTATACGTTTCAACAAAGAATTGATAGTTCAATTATTCAAGATAATTGATATTGAACAAAGCTATATTCCACCAATTAAACTTTATTATTAATTACTGCATAGGTTCACATATTTGGACATTTGTTCCTTTATTCGATTATTCGTTATCTGAAAAAAAAAATATACTGATCGAATTGAGTAACCTCCTCCTTTTTCGAAGTCGGTTAAAAACGCACCACTTTTTTAGATACTCGGATATAAAGTATCAGTATGCAGATAACCACGAAATTTATTGAGAATAATCTATAAAAAGGAAATATAAATTTTACTTTATCTTATCTATAACCTTAAATCAGTCCGTTATTCCTTTCCTTAAAAGTTTAATTACTTTCCCTGTTATATACGCTAACCTAAAAAAAGTAATGTCTAGTGTTTTTGATATTTTTGAAAAGTTTAAAAAGCGACATAATAATAATGAAAAATTATTTGTTACTTTGAATATAGTTAACTGTAAAATGATTATGTCAAAATTTGTAGGTAATTTTCTATAGATAACTGAACGTGGATTTTTATTCTTCGGTTTATCGTTTCAAGCGAGGCAGACATTTTGTCTTCTGGAATCACAATGATGTTCAAATTTTTAAACGGCGGTAAACATGTGGATTAATATTACTCGTTTAGTTTCTTATCAAAGAAGAATTTATGCAAATATTTGTATAATGAATCATTCGTTTCATTAAAGACTCATTTATTTTTGTTCAAATCAGATACTGCTGATCTTTCGTTATCATTTCGAGTTAAGATTAATTTGAGAAGTAATGTATGAATGAAATGTTATTTTAAAAGCAATAATATGTTTATTATTGTTGGATAGATTAATATTTGCAAATACTATGAAGAATTCATTTTGTTCTGCATGCGTCACGTGACCCGTTTTTGACACAGTCGTCATAGAAATTAAACCATTTAAACTCGTTTCCGGCATTCTATTCTTTTTGTGAGTTCTAAAATGAGTCATAATATCTTTATAATTTCTTTCTTCATGGTTCCTTTAATCTTCGCGTTTCGAGATGCTTCTTACGCGCAAATTGGCTCAACAAGACTATTTAAGCGATCTTAAACCTTCCTCACTAAAGGTCAATTTGAACAGATAACCGTTTCGATAGCAAAATGTCTATGTTCTCTCAATCAATATTTCGTGTTGATACTAATAAAACTTGCAAATGAGTCGACGATTGTTATGCGTGGTCATTAGCTTGTGTAGGATTCGGACGGATGAGATAAGTTATAAATTCTTTAATTACATGAGACTTTCCAAATTTTTAAATTTTCAAATTTCCAAATTCTCAGTTTCAAATTCGTAAAGTTTCAAATTCTCAAAGCTTCAAATTCTCAAAGTTTCACATTCGCAAAGTTCCAAATTCTCAAATTTTGGAATTCTCAAAGTTCAAAATTTGCAAAGTTCCGAATTCACAAAGTTCCAAAATCTCAAAGTTCCAAATTCTCAAAATTCCAAATTCTCAAAATTCCAAATTCTCAAAGTTCCAAATTCTCAAAGTTCCAAATTCTCAAAGTTCCAAATTCTCAAAGTTCCAAATTCTCAAAGTTCCAAATTCTCAAAGTTCCAAATTCTCAAAGTTCCAAATTCTCAAAGTTCCAAATTCTCAAAGTTCCAAATTCTCAAAGTTCCAAATTCTCAAAGTTCCAAATTCTCAAAGTTCCAAATTCTCAAAGTTCCAAATTCTCAAAGTTCCAAATTCTCAAAGTTCCAAATTCTCAAAGTTCCAAATTCTCAAAGTTCCAAATTCTCAAAGTTCCAAATTCTCAAAGTTCCAAATTCTCAAAGTTCCAAATTCTCAAAGTTCCAAATTCTCAAAGTTCCAAATTCTCAAAGTTCCAAATTCTCAAAGTTCCAAATTCTCAAAGTTCCAAATTCTCAAAGTTCCAAATTCTCAAAGTTCCAAATTCTCAAAGTTCCAAATTCTCAAAGTTCCAAATTCCCAAAGTTCCAAATTTGCAAAGTTCCAAATTCTCAAATTTTGGAATTCTCAAAGTTCCAAATTCTTAAAGTTTCAAATTCTCAAAGTTCCAAATTCTCAAAGTTCCAAATTCTCAAACTCTCGAATTCCCAAATTTCCAAAATTCCCAAAATTCCCAAAATTCCCAAATTTCCAAATACCCAAAATTCCCAAAATTTCCAAAATTCCCAAAATTCCCAAATTCCCAAAATTTCCAAAATTCCTAAAATTCCTAGAATTACCAAATTCCCAAAATTTCCAGAATTCCCAAAATTTCTAAATTCCCGAAATTCCCAAAATTCCTAAAATTGCTAAAATTCTCACAATTCCCAAAATTCCCAAAATTCCCAAAATTCCCACAATTCCCAAATTCCCAAACTCTCAAATACCTGAACCCTCCAACTCCCATTTTCCCAAAATTCCCAAATTTACAAAATATAATAAAATTTGGCAATAAAATATGGCTCACAATGTTAAGGTTCCAAACAATATTTCAAATGTTAAATCTTAAGCATCACCTTAATACACATATATTAATATAATTACATGTTATGCCATTACAAAATATATTAAGACACGCACTGCACTATTTCAACATATAAGAAGTCATACTATACTATTATACTATGACTTACTATACTCTTACTCTGCTATAAACTGTATACTATTATAATATACCCTTATGCATATAGATTTCCATACAATTACGCTTTAATACAACAAAGTAGCCAAATCTCATTACGCACGATGCACCAGTATGCATTCTCAATCAATGCGGTTAGGGGAATGGAAGGTACTAGAACTCTCGAACGCATCGCCGTTAATTCTAGAATTTATTTCGTTATCGTTTACGCCTATCATTCCATGTATAGAGTACAATGGAATCCCTAATCGACTTGTTTTTCCATTAACGATTCATCGTCAACAAACTTGCCGTAATCAAGGCGTATGCATAGCAATGCATACGATCAAATTAATATACACTCTATGGTATGTTATATTATATACGGCGAGTTGTGATACTCGTTTCGTATGCGATTACATGTACATGTGTACACGTGGTTTCAGAAATGTCAGCTTAATCGAGGTTAATGAAGGCACATCTGCATCGCAATGATGTTTACGTTCAAAATAAACGTACTGAACGCTAATATTTGAAGTATTAGCATGACGTGTAATGGCACACGTGTAATTTTATGTAGATACTTATAATACATTGTTATTGCGCGGGGGCATTACGGTAGTGAAGTACCGAGTGTAATAAGCTGATTGAATTAGTTAAATTAGATGCTAATTCGATGAAGAGTCGAAATTTTTTTTTCCATAAAATGTTAGTGCAACATCTTAAAAATATAGTCCCAAAATTTTAAAGCGAAATACGAAGCCCTTTTGAAGTTATGGCCGATTAGCGCCGCAGGCATTCACGCGTTCAGTGCGCAAGACTGAAACTTTAAACGCGTTTTTCTCAAAACTACATTTTTACAATTGGTGTGGCTGATAACTCAAAAACTAGTTTATCAATCGCGCTCAAATTTTTGCACATATCCATGACAATGGTATCCAACATATGAACCTAAATTTATGAAATAATTTGAACATTAAAGTCCTTTTTTATTGCAAAATATTGCAAAAATTTTTAGTAAAATTTAAAGATTTTCTTTAAAAGCGCGCCATTTCATTAATTTTGCACATTTCTGAGGTTCATCTACTAACTGTGAATGTTAGTTTTCGAAACATTGTCTGCAAATTTGATTCAGAACAATATATCTAAAGATAGAACCCACATCGATTCACGAGACGCGCCCAAACACTTCCAGAAAGGATTGTTATAATTCCGCCATTTTTAAGTGTATTTAAAAACAAAAAATATTGTGTAATAGGCAATAGTTGTAATAAATTATACCTGAAATTTCAAAAACGCGAAACAAAGATATCCTATACAAAAAAATTCACAAAAATCAGCTTATTTTCATCGGTCTAAAGGTATTGCCCCCTTAAGATTCGTAGAGGTGCCTTTATGAGGTACTAGATGTCTTTTTTATGTATTATTTAGTTATTATTATTTAGTATGATGTTTTTTAATTAAAATTCGTTGGGGATCCATGTTGTGCTATAGCTACTACGTACTGAGAAATGAACTATTAAGAGTTCATTTGTAAAATAATTCAAGAATTTTGTTTAATGCAAATTTGATTAATTTGAGGGTGGTAATTTGGCAATTTAGAAGTTTATAAATTTGATAAACTAGCTGTATGGTAATCTTGCTATTTGCCGATTTAGAAGTTTAATAATTTGGAAATTTTGAAACGTGATAAACTGGCTGTTTGGTAATTTGGCAATTTAGAAATGTGATAATTTGGCTATTTGACAATTTAGAAATTTGGCAACTTGGAAATTTAGAAATCTGGAGGGTTGCAGATTTAATTTGAAAGTTTAGAAATTTTGGAAATAAAAAATTTAGAAATCTAATAATGCAGCGATTAAGAATTTAGAAAATTTCTTATTAGTAAATTGATAGCCAAGATCGATAACATAATCTGTCAATTCAGTGATTCACTAATTAAATAACTAAATAACTTAAGTTACAAAATTAAAATAACGTTAAAACTCAGGATTCATAACCCGACATTTTAGAAATCTGCAAACCTAGAAAACCGCTAGGCATAGAAATAAGAAATTTGCTGATGAATGCCCGCGAGTGCACTCCAGTTCCCACGGTCCGTCGAGCGTGTTCTCGCGATCGTAATTGCCCATCACAACGCATATTATCTAGTTTCGTCAGAAGAAAAAACCGCGTAAGAATCTGAAAGACCGAGATGACCATTGTCACCTGTTGTCCCTTGTATTATTGGAGTACGAGACGAACGCTAGCGTGTAACTTGCGCAGCTGTTGAGTCCCAAAGCGGAGTCGCGCGAGTGATCGAGTCAGTTTCGCACGAACAACACGCGCGAGTAAACGCTTCCCTCGTGTTTCAGTTGATCGTCGCAGCTCGTGCACGACGCATGGTCGACGTAGTGACACTGCACTGAAATTTCAAATAATCCGATCGCATAATCCATCAGTCCACTCCTCTCTTTTCCTTTAAACTTTTTTAAAAACCATTCAATCGCACGATCTTCTAAACACGGTGGTAATTGTTGAATGAAAGGTTTGTTCCCCGTTTTAAAATAGTTTGAAATTGGCGGGAAAGCGCGGTATTTGAGTTTCGAGAACAGTTGATCGCTGTGTTGAAGCGTTTTGAAACAAAAGCGTCGATGCATTACATTTGACGGGAAAGGAGAGGAATCGAATCTCCAGAAACATCTGTTCGTTGCGATACAGGAAAGGTATGTAACCGATGATGAAATTATTTGTTTGTCTCTTCGTTTTTCATCGATAGTGATTTATGATGATGTTACAACGTTCAGAATCGGATACAGCGATAATGTTGCAGTTCGGTTATCGCTGCGCGTGTTTTTATTTTGTAAATAAAATCAACGGCTGTCAAAGTGTGTAGTGGGTGTACGGGTACATTTGAATATTTTTGATAAGAGATAACTCGAATAGTTTAAGTGCATCTTGAATTGTGTCTTTAAGTCTTGGAAGGTTTGGGTCAATTTTATTCGAGTAATTTTTATGTGATGGTCGAAAAGTTTGACGCTGAAGATTAAATATTTTTGAAAATTTAAAAAGTTTTGGGTATAAATGTTATATTGTTTCAAACGTAAATATTGTATATGGATATGTACAAATAAATAAATACAAAATGTAAGAACAAAAATGTAAATATAAAATATAAATACAAATTACAAGTACAAAATTATAAATACAAAATATAAGTACAAAAATATAAGTACAAAATTATAAATACAAAAATATAAGTACAAATAAATAAATACAAAATATAAATACAAATAAACAAATACAAAAATATAACTACAAATTTATAAATAAAAAAATACAAGTACAAAATTATGAATACAAAAATACAAGTACAAAATTATGAATACAAAAATATAAGTACAAATAAATAAATACAAAATATAAATACAAATAAACAAATACAAAAATATAACTACAAATTTATAAATAAAGAAATACAAGTACAAAATTATGAATACAAAAATATAAGTACGAATAAATAAATACAAAATATAAACACAAATAAACAAATACAAAAATATAACTACAAATAAATAAATACAAAATATAAACACAAATAAACAAATACAAAAATATAACTACAAATAAATAAATACAAAATATAAACACAAATAAACAAATACAAAAATATAATTACAAATTTATAAATAAAAAAATATAAGTTACAAGTGGAAAAATGTATATATTTTGCATATATTATTATGGTTGCAAAATGACTATTCAATTGTTAAATAGTTAAGTTCACGTATCACTTGAAAAAACATCGAACAAAAAAGGTCAGACAGAAGGGGTAGAAGCTATCGGACATGAAGATTAAATAGCTTAGCGATTATTTATTGCTCGTGTTGCTGGGATCAATCACTCGAATTAAAAAGATAGCGGAGATGCAGTAATTTACTTTGTATCTCTCAATTAACCTCGTCACGTTTCACACGTGCCACATCACGTTTAGCTGTATTTTCGAGATCATGTTAACTCGTAATTTTGATGGTCGTTGTAAAGTGATACGAAAATTGGTATCTATAAGATTCCATGGAGATAAGAATGTGGGATACTTAAAAGAGGGGTGGTAAGTTTTATTTGTTAGATTATAAAAAGTTGGGTGTTAACAAGAAAAAGTAAACTGATGGACACCATTTTTTTAACCAGCTGAGTTAAATTTGTTTGAACGATTATTATTTAATAATACATGTAATTTATAAACTGCTAAATAATTGTAGTTTATGTACAAAGACACATATTAAAAAAAGTATATAATAAATACTAAAATAATTTTAAAAATTGTTGAAGTTTAATGACTTACCTCATTGCTCACGAATTAATATTAACTAATATTAATGTAAAATTTGTATGAATTACAATTAGTAAATAATGCAAGTAATTTACATAAGCAATCTAGAATCGAAAAAATCGTAAATCTGTGAGGTCCAAAAATATTTTAGTAATATTGTTTACTAAATAATTATTACAACAAGTTTGCACTTATATCCGAAACTCAGTGAGCACCTGTTAACAAAATTTTTCCGGCATTTCGTGCGTTGTAAATATACAGAACCTGACTGATTCATAAAAAGTTAAAATTTATCCCGTTATGTTAATGCAGCAAATATTAGTATTAGATTTGAGTCATTCGCAGATGTTGCCTCTAAAAATATGCTTTGATAAACGATGATTTCCTTCGATGCACTTGTTAATCCGAATTCATGTTCTCATTTCCCTATCAAAATCTATTTGTGTCTTACTGGTATTATCTATGGAATTATATAATCTACAAATTAAGATGAATCCGAGCTTAATGCAAGGTCGAGATTGAATGAGCACCCTGTTGGAAGAACCTTCTGTACCGACAAAAGTTTAGATGATTCATTAAAAGACAATAAACGTGTTGGGACAATAAACAATAAAGTAACAATGAACTTATTAACTTGAAAGAATAATAAATTAAATTGTAGTGATTTTCATTCTCTAATTTTTACAATTCTCTAATTCTTTACAATTCGGATAAAAACAGTGGAAATTAGAGTATGATATGGTTTTTTATATTTGTTGAGGATTTTATACTTTTGTACTGAGATTATTACGCGTTGATCTAATGATGAATGACGATTTCGTTCATTATGTCAAGTTTTACAGTAATTCATTTTTCATCTTCTCGTGATATATGTTTTAATTAGAGATAACTAAAAGTTCGTCTTAATTCTTCGTTTTTACAGCTTTCGTTTCTTTGGTACGAAGTAACAACTTTCTACATATATCTGTTCTTTTAAAGTACAATTTTAGGTTAAAGTGTTAATCGCTGTACAGATTACCTTATCTTTCATTCTACTTATCGAGCGTGATAGGCTTCTGTAGAAATATGGCGATATACGAAAAGGGGGTTTTGTTATTGGTCATGATATTCAGAAATTATCACAGTATCGGGACTTTCTTCGTGATTGCGAGTATCGGGAATTGTAGTATTGCAAAATTGGGGAATTCACGAATTTCAAAATTAAGAAGTTTCGAGTACTTAAAAATTTAGAAATTAAAAAATTTCTAAATGTGGAATTGTAAAAATGTAAAAATTTAGAAATTAAAAAATTTCTAAATGTGGAATTTTAAAAATGTAAAAATTTAGAAATTAAAAAATTTCTAAATGTAGAATTTTAAAAATGTAAAAATTTAGAAATGAAAAAGTTGAAAAGTGTAAAAATTTCACATCAGCAGCATGTGAGATATCTTTGTTCGCTTTATCTGAAAACTGAGGACTTGAAAAGCTGTGAAGCTTGTGAATAGCCGCGAGTAATACCCTGATGCAATAAACCGAGATAATTAGATCCTAATTTAATCCCGATGTCGACTTATCACGAAACACTATCGTGGGTAACGGAAATTAAAAAAAAATTAATCTTAACGAGTATTAAAAGAGATTATAGTTTCTTCGATGAGATTGTTTCGAAAAATCCTGTTTTATGGTGCGATTATGTAATCCCTGATTTTTCCATCTGTTATCGTTTTTACTATATCAGCAATGGTACTGCAACATATTTGAAATGTTGATAACTTAGAACGACAAAGTTTCTAAAAATTTACTAACATTAACACCATAAATAACGACGAATAGTTCAAAATATATTTTTACAAACAAAAGAAAAACTGGATACTGCGAATTCAGTGAAAGACCTACATTGTTAATAATAGACACTATAAATTATCCCAAAGGAAAAATCGGAAGTACCATAATTTCAATTTTTGCGACAGAAATGAATTGTATACTGTTTCTGTTGTGTCACACAGAAAACTGGCAGAATGTCATTTTCGTGTATCGTGCATGAAAATCAAGGTTACTCTTATAGAATCAAGAACGTGTGTGAGTTTACGTGGGTGCCGAAATGCTTTTTAAACGAACACGTGTGTAGAGTGATTCATGCAACAGTTTCCCGGCGATTTTGGATTTTATGAAGAGGCGTTACGAATGTACTACGGCGTCATATTAAACGATCACTGAAAACTTCTCGTTGCAGTTACAAATGGAACGGGTCCAAGGAATAACAAGATTATATTAATTTTATTATTTATTTCCGGGTTAATATCGAAACACAAATTTTGTAACTTTTAAATTTGTTTATTATAATGGAGAACGTATAGAGAGACATAATTATAATGGTCTTAAGAAATAGAAACCTAACCTAACTTTTTTACAAATGAAATTTTTCTATATTGTATAAGATCTAAGAAATAGTCCATTACAAAAACTCTAAAAATTGTGTCATTTTATTAGCAAAAATAAGTGGGTATATTTTACTGCCTCAAAATTGATCCTCCATTTTCATAGTAGGAGCCATATTGTTTTCATTCGATACTATATTTCCGTCATATTTATATTTTATTTATAGTATGGTATAAAATGAATTGTCATATAGTATATGTGTATAAGTATTAAACAATCATAGTTGTACAAAATATATTATTTCAGGTGTATACTAAAGCTGTATATGTTAACAACAAACTTATAGTACTTGTTACAATAAGAATTCTGACAAGATCTGAACTATTTAGATGCTGGTTTACGATAGAACGTGTTTTGGAGATAATGTAATCTCGACCTCCGAGAATGAACGGGTTAAATAATTCTTTTTTAGCACAGACATTCTGGTGCCTTAACATAACAACGGGCCAACAAATATGCGCAGTTGATTCGATCACAGCGACTGCAGCCAAATGCAACAGTGGACGAAGTTCAATGCCGTGTGGACTTTCTCGAGTAAAACGAGAATGATTGCCCTCGATTTTCGTTACATTCATTCTCAGGTTACGTGCGAGTGATTTTTCGATGGACTTTATTGTTACGTCGAGCAAATTGCAATGGCGGTCACACAGAGAATAAAAGAAATTTTAGACATCTTACTTTGAGAAAATATGGCAATATAATGAGGGGATGCTCTGGTAGCTTCTCTTCTAATATGATACTGATGCAGTTAATTATTCGACAGTAATGAAGTTTTCGATGAATAATAATTTTAAATGAAATTCCGATAAATTCCTATTCATTTTTTAAACCTCGGAAGAAACCTTATTGTCAAAGTTATCTTGATCAGTAATCGTATATATTTTTTCCTACTAAGAAACAAGGTATTTCTTTATAAGATAAGATTCTTATCTTAATAACAAATATCTTTAAGGAATAAAGAAATAAAAAAATATC